GGACATTAAAACAAACAAAAACAAAATATTAACTTGTAATTTCATTGGGAAAAATAAAGACAATTACAATTAGTAGTCTATTCATGCACTCCAGTCAGTCATTATTTACAAACACGTAATACATGTATTAAGTATTATGTGCTAGACACAGTGCTAGTGGCTGGAACACCAAAGGTGAGCAAGACCAGAGTTCATCCTGCTCCCCTTGGAACCAGCGGGGGCACTGGCACTATCTAAATGAAACCCTGGTCAGACTCTTCCAGCACGGGAGCAGAGGGAATGGAAGAGAAGCCCTCATTCAAGACGTATGTCACAAGAAGATGGGACAATATAGTGACAGGTTAATAGAGCATGCAACAGAGAGGAATGTCGAACAGGTCTCCTCTTTACTTCCTATCCAGGCATTTTGGTCTCTATCCCTTTAAGGAGCATGCTCAATAGAAACTACAGATTAGAATCTTCTGAAGTACTCAAAAAAAGAAAAAGATGCTGGAGGTGGGACTCCTACCTCCAGAGATTCTGATTCACTTTGTCAGCATTGGTACTATTAATATTATCATTATTTTTTTTAACTGTCTCCACCCACAAAAATAAGGCCAAGATAACTGTCTGCTTTGTACAAGATGTGCCCTGTATTAATTTCTATTGCCACATAACAAAACAAACAAATGAAAACATAAACAAATTTAGCACCTTAAAACAATATTCATTTATTAGCTCACAGTTCTGTAGCTCAGAGGTCTGAGTGGGCTCCCCTGGCTTCTCTACTCAGGTTTTACAAGATGTAATTCAAGGTGTCAGCTGGGTTGGACTCTTATCTGAAGTCTCTGGGAGAGAATCTATAGCCAGCCTCATTCAGGTTGTTGGCAGAATCCAGTTCCTTAGAGCTCTAGGACCCAGGGCCCTGTTTCCTTGCTGGCTGTTTGCCAGGAGCTGCCTGCATCCCTCCTCACGTGGCCCTCCCTATCTCCAAAAGAGCAATCCGTGCATTGAATCTTTTTCATGCCTGGAATCCCTCTGAGTTCCTCTTCCACCATCCTCTTTCTCTACCAGCTGGAGAAAGTTCTCTTTCCTAGCTGACTAGATTCAGCTCACCTGAACAATTTTCCTTTTTTAAGGTCAACTGTGCCTAACATAACATAATCACAGGAGGTATGTCTGATCACATTCACAGATTCAGGGGATTATGGTACGGAATCTTGAGGGGCGTTTCTAGAAATTCAGCCTACCATATATCAGAAGCATCTAGACAAGTGCCTGGCACATAGAAGGTCCTCAAAACATACTTGATAAATGGAATGGAACTGTCACTTTTTGTGGCAAAGAAAGAGAAAGAGAAGGCATAGATAATCAAAGAGTGGTTGATAATGGGTCAGTTATCTTATTTAATTGAATCTAAGCATATATTCCTTTTTACACTTTTCGTTGGAGTATCTCCCACACACACACAAACACACACTTCCACAAATCATACACACACAAGCTCCATAAATTTTCACAAACAGTACACAAATGTATAAACAGCATGCAAATCACGAATCAGAATATCTCCAGCACCCAAGAAGCCTTCATGGGGCTTCCTTCCAGTAACTAATTACTCCCTCCCTTTAACCCCACACACACTAGGCGGAACCACTCTCCTGACTTCCAATGCCATATTTCACTTTTGACTGTTTTTTTTAACTTTATCTAAATGGAATCACACAATATGTACGTCTTTTCATCTGGCTTTTTTTGTTCAAGATTCTGCTTGTGGTAGGCAGCCTCTAAGATGGCCCCCAGTGATCCGACCTCCTGGTATGCATGGCATCCCCTTGAGTAACTTGCATCTAACATTGAGACATGAATAGAATATGGCAACATGAGGGGCTGGCACTTCCATGATTAGGTAACAAAAGGTTGTGACTTCCATCTTGCTAGCAGGTTCTATTGCCTTCTTGGCTTGCATGCTTTGATGAAGCAGGCTGCCATGTTGGACAGGCCCTTGTGGCAAAGTACTGAGGATGGCCTCTGGCCAACAGCCAGCAAAGAACTGAGGCCCTCTGTCCAACAGCCTGAGAGAAACTGAATTCTGCCAACATCTATGTGAGCTGGGAAGCTGATCCCTCCCTGGTTGAGCCTTTGGATGACTTCAGCCCAGCCAACACCTTGATTTCAGCCTCTAAAAGATCCTGAGGCAGAGGTCCCAGCTAAGCTGTGCCCAAATTTCTGTCCTACAGAAACTGAGATGACAAAAGGGTGTTATTTTAAGCCACTAAATTTTGGGGTGATCAGTTACCAGCAACAGATAAATAATGCATATAGTTCATCCATGTGGTTGTATGCAGTTGTAATTCATTCATTCTCATTACTTTATAGTAGGGTTTGAAAAAGCTTTTTTCTATAAAGAGCCAGAGAGAAAATATTGTAGGTTTTGCAGGCCAAAAAACAAAATTGAGGATATTATGTAGGTACTTCTACATAATTTTCATGTGTTACAAAATATTATTCTTCTTTTGATTTTTTTTCCCCAACTATTTTAAAATGTAAAAACCATTCTTAACTCCTGAGCCACACAAAGATAGGCAGGGGGCCACATGTGGCCCATGGGCCATAGATTGCTGACCTCTGCTATATAGAATGGTTTGCTTATACCACAGTTCATTTGACTAATCTATTGTTGAGGAACATTTGGGTTGTTTGCAGTTTGAAGGTATTACAAATACTGCAGCCAGGAGCATTCCTGTATATGTCTTTTGGATAAGATGTGTATGCATATCTGTTTGTTATACATGCAGGAGTGAAACTCCTGGGTCACCGGATAAGCACATATTCAGCTAAATATGCCAAGTTGTTTTCCAAAGTGGTTTATTAATTTTCACAACACCAGCAGTATATATGAGTCCCTACTTTCCCACAATCTTGCCAAGAATTGGTATTTTCTTTTTCTTTTGGCCATTCTAGTGGGAACTGTTTTCAAAGCTTCCCAGGTGATTCTAATATTCAGCCAGAATTGAAAATTCCTGCTTAACTACTGCTTCTCTATTAGGATGAACCACAGGAAATTGCTCTGTTTATAGGCTAAAAAAAGGTTAAATGTTGGCTATTTTATATGGTTAAACTAATATTTCATTCACATCTTATTTATATTTATACTAAAAATGAACTCCAACTGCAATGCACATCAGTTGGGGAAGATCTTAAAGTCTTGCTCTGAAATTAAGTTTTTTAAATTAAAAATGGAGTTCATGGTCTGGCCCCGTGGTGCAGCGGTTAAGTTTGCACACTCCACTTTGGTGGACCAGGGTTTACCGGTTGGCGTCCCGCAAGCAGACCTATGCACCACTTATCAAGCCAAGCTGTGACAGGCGTCCCACATATAAAACATGGAGGAAGATGGGTACAGATGTTAGCTCAGGGCTAATCTTCCTCAGCAAAAAGAGAAGAATTGGCAGCAGATCTTCCTCAAAAAAAAAAAGGATTTCAGTGACTCTTACATTTTAATGTCACCGGGATCCTTAAAAGCTTGAAAATACACCAATAGTTTTCACCTTGGCTGCAGATTAGAATCACTTGCGGGTTTTTTTTTTAAGACTTAAGTGCCCCTACTCAAACTCTCAGAAATTCTGATTCTGTGAGACTAGGATGGGATTAGGAACGTGTGTTTGTAAAAGGCTGATGCACAGACAAGGTTGAGAACCACTGATATCATCTCCCCCGGCTTTCTTTTCCATTCACTCAATCTAAGGAAAGACAGTGCTTTGTGATTCTATATGCTTGAAGTGGGAAGGAAGCACCTGCATTTAAGTTCCTTCCAGATTTTGGAATGCTCGGTTGCATATTAGGTTGGAAAAATTCTTTTACCCATGGCAATGGTGTCTCACTGAACATGTCTCTCTCTACTAGACCACAGATAGATGCCTTGGCTTTGATTGGTACACAGCTCAAAGGACTCAGAGTTCAAGTATCCCCAAAGGCATTTAATGGCTACTCACAGGTATTTCTAAAAGTACACAGACTCAGCCATATTACCCAATAGGAGGGTAAGCATGTACTTAGTGGCCAGAAAAGTAAGTGTGCACGTACACACTCAGAAACAAAGCTGTTTTGTAAAACAAAAAAAATTTAAGACCAAGAAAGAAAATCTAAGTAGTTATGATGGGAAGAATCACATCTTTATATTTCCTTAGATCTCCTTTACAGAATAGTTTTAAAAAATTTATTTATAGGGGAGGGAGCAGAAAAGCTGGGGGCTGGGTGGAAGTGGCACCATATGCATTTCCAAGCTCAAGGCCTTCAAAAGTCTAAACGCAGTCCTGAGTCAGATTTGTTCCCAAGGCCATTCCCTTATCTCTACCAGCCCTAATTGCATCTGTATTTCCACACGCAGGGAAAAAAAAGTTCGGGTACGTCATTTTCATCAGTACCGGCTCTGTATTTCTATTGCCCTCCACGTGACTCCCTTTTTCCCGTCAGCTTATAGCACCCTCCAGCACCTGGAGCCAGGACACAGGTTCAAAAGTTGAAAGAACACTAATTCTTAGGCGCTGTTAATTATTAGGTCCTATCACAGACCGCCAACGGGTTTCCAGGCCAGGCAAGCCGAAAGCCTCCTACCTTGGAAGCCAGACAAGCTTCCATCACCTGACATCCTCAGGTAGAATCCTGAATCCTAGATTTTGTTCCTAATAACCCCTTGGGGATGATGCTTGTTCGGGATTTTTAAGCCACCCCCAACCACTATGCTAAGTGTTTAGCCACCCGAACCGCCTGGAGGATCAGAAGACAGCTGGAGCAGCTGGCGGGATTCTCCTAAACCCCACACATCCCAGGGCGCAGAGGAACAAGTTTCAACCGCACCCTGTGCAGCGGCTCTCTGGCCCAGCGGAGAACCACAGCCGGCCGGCGGCTCTGCTCTCCTCACTAAATGGGTGGCCAAGCAGGCCAGCGAAAAACCCAGAAGATCACACCACAAACCCGGCCGCCTCCTGCCTCCCACACGACCCCTGCCAGGTGCTCACCCTCTTCTAATTGACGGGGAAGATCTCAATCACGGGTCTCTACTCTTAGCGCCGAACGAAACCCAGAGCACGGCATCTTGGGAAAGGTAGTCCCCGCCACCTCCCGGGGTGCCCGGATCCGCTCATGAGAGCCCCCCGGGAGGGATTGCTCTACCTGGGCCAGCTGAAGCCGGAGCTGCTGTCTTAGGGAGGAAGGAGGGCCGCGCCCCGCGGACGACTCGGGGTGCTCTCCCGGGTCAAAGCGAAGGGAGGGAACTACATTTCCCAGGCCGCCTTGCGCCGAGCCGGCAGCCGGTAGCCTCGTTTTGCGTGACCGCGGCAGGTTGGTCCTGATGAGCGCAGAATATTTAGGAGAAAGCGCGAGGAGGGGGGAGCGCGGTACAGGAGGAGTACCTCGGCCAAGAAAATTATGCATGCGTTAGGGAAGCTCTGAGAGAATGGCTGTGGAAGGTAAGGGACGCTTGGGCATTTTAAGCTCCCTCTTAACCCGCGCACCCCCATACACACATCCCTGATGAACCTCAGGGAACGTGGGGAGGAGAGGAAATCGGGTGGTGGCGAGCGGGCCCTTTCCTCCTACACCTCTTGGCACTCACCTGAGCCACCGAAGGCCAGTAGGCGCCGTATTCAGTTGCTTTGGAAAGACATGTAGGTGCGCAGGACTTTAGGGTTGGAGACGAAGAGTGTCCCTAATGCTAAACGATGTGCTGGAAATGGGGGGAAAGCCGGAGAGATCAGCCTGAGGTCTCAGCCCCGAGGTGCCCTTTTCGCTTCCCCCTCCCACCGGGGCCGGCTGGGCGGCCACGGCGCTGGGGATCCTCGCTTTGCCCCCTGCACGTGGGAGAGGACCCCCGCCAGGTGCGTCATCGGCAAGCATGGACTGCGATTGGGTCGAGGGCCCTCGTCGTGTGCACCCAGCAGGGGTGGCAGCAGATGTACCCAGAGGGTGGAGGTGTCCCTACACCTGTCCCCGTTTATACAGCCCTCCCGGTGTTAGCAAAGTTTACAGAAACGAAATGCAATCAGCCCAGGGAAAAAAAGGACAACTAATCTCTTGGATTTGGGAGAATCCTTTTCTTAGAAGAACACCTTCCTCTTTCCTAGTATAATTTTGGCCTTTGGCTTTGCAGTTTTGGCTCTAGGATCCTGCCTCCTTTGAACTTCCTGGTTGAAAGCAGAGACGGGCCATTTGTGAGGAATCTGAGTTTGCTTTTCAAGTTCTCTTAGCTTGGAACACCTTTTTTTTTTTTTTGCTGAGGGTAGCTTCTCGGGAAGAAAATAAGTGGACTAGACGTATTTGTGATGTCAAATTAGAAGTCAGCCGGTGCTCGAATGACGAAATGATCGCGGCACTAAAGGGGAACCTGCGTTCACCTACAGAATTATAGTTCCTGAGTGTGGTTCAGGTCAGAGGGGAACGGGGGTAGGAAAAAGAGGGCAAGCCTGCCAGCTGCATGAGGCTCCTTGCCAAAGGGAAATGAGCCTGTTCCTTGTAGGCTGGAGGCAAGGAGCCACAAGGGCTTGCTTGCTTCTCTCTCCCCTCCCTGTCCTGGGTGAGAGAAACTCTTGCTCTCTCTCTAACTGCTTAACCTGAAGTAGCAACAACCCAGTCACATGCTTAGGACCCATTAACTCAGCAAACTATTGCCTTTGGGCTCGCTCAGGTTCAAAGATCTTCAGCTGGCCACATCTTTCTATCTGTATTTAATCTATTTATTTATTTATATATATTTGGCTTTTCAATTATATATATATATATATCTCATATATATGGCTTTGAAAAACCAAATAACCAAAGACTTTTCTAAGTTTTCTGTGCAAACGTAGTAATAGGGTGAGAAGCCATCTTTTTGCATTGTTTATAGTTGATAAGTGAGACAAGATGAAAAAAATAACCAAGGTAAAGTTCATCCTGAGCTTGAGGTCAAGGAGAAGTTGACCCCCTGGCAGCCTTCTACCTCACCCCTCAGATGACACTGATTATCATCTCTCCTCTTCCCTACTCTTCTGTGTCCCCAAGTGAGGGGCACTCCCATTGGTTGCCAGTCCACAATGTACTTGAAAACAATTTCCTGCTCACTGAAAGAAGTATAGAATTAGTCACGTTTCTTGTCTGATGGGTTATTATACCAGTGCAGCCAGACCTTACAAAAACAAGGGTTTTGGACGGAAGCACGCATGGACTGGGGAGAACTTATTTCATTTTCTAGTGACTTATTGGTTCATGTTCCTTGTCTAGTAAACAGGAGATCCTGAGCTTGAATCACAGTGAGGTCTCAACTCGAAGAATGCAGGGAGTATTTTAAACTTAGGAATCATATTTGCCCCCAATCTCTGGTCTTTGTACCCAGTCTCTGGTCTTTGCAATGGCAGTTTTCTTGGCCTGAATGGAGTCCTTCCTGGCTATTCTCACTTGGTCTTTCCAGGCTCAGAGAAGACAATCTCTGGTCTTTGTACCCAGTCCCTGGTCTTTGCAATGGCAGTTTTCTTGGCCTGAATGGAGTCCTTCCTGGCTATTCTCACTTGGTCTTTCCAGGCTCAGAGAAGACAATCTCTGGTCTTTGTACCCAGTCCCTGGTCTTTGCAATGGCAGTTTTCTTGGCCTGAATGGAGTCCTTCCTGGCTATTCTCACTTGGTCTTTCCAGGCTCAGAGAAGACTTCACTTCTCTGGGAACTTGTCGCAGTCCTCCTTTCCCTCTGCCTTCCCAGGGCCCTGCCGCGGTCTGTGGGAGAGCACTAACTTTCCTGAGCACCTGGGCTTCCATCTCTCCTACCACATACCATCCCTAATCTGTCTCTCACTAGACTATAAGACTATAGCCCTTTGAGAGGGAGGACCATGTACTCTTTGACATTATTTTCTCAGCCAATAGCACAGTACCTGACCCATATAGGTACTCAATAAATGCTCATAGAATGAGTGGGAAATAAATTCATGGAGCTTTCATAATTGACTCCATGAGGATGTGTGGGGCTTTCTTAGGAGCCCAAATGTGATAAAATAAGGGATTTTTGAGAAATTTGAAGTAGGGGAGACTTAAAGAAAGTGATCCTCTCTTCAGTCTTTTGTCCTGATGCTCAAAGATTCTTCTAGAGCAGTGAGTCTCAACTGAGGGGGACATTGTCCCTCTAGGGTCTGTTTGAGATCTGTAGGAATTGCTGCTGGGGGCTGATATTGGTATTTTGTGCACTTGGGGCAAGGGATACTGAACATCCTGCAGTGTGTGGCCATTGCATACAAGTTCCCAACCCAAGCCCAAGTAACGACCAGTTTCCCTCAGCTCAGTGGGAAGCACTGATTCAGAGAATAAGGAATTTTGCCAGTGGAACAGGAATAGGAAATATAATACATGTTATTTAACATCTGAGATTTAGTTTCCACATCTGGAAAAAATGGGCACACTACCATTTATGTCCCAGGAAGGTTATGAAGATTAAATAAAAGAAAGGACTTATCGAAGAGTGCCTGAAGCATGGATCCTAAGAAAATGTTATTTTACTCCTCCTATCCTTGGGCACATATTTTGTATCCTGGATTTTCACTTCTTCATGCCAGTCTGTCTAATTAGTAATAAATCAGAAGGTTTTTACGACGTGTAAACTGTTTTCTTAAGTAAGCTTGAACTTGTAAAAGTGTCAAGAGCAAGTAGGGAGCTCATTCATTTTGCTGAACCTTTAGCCTTGAGTTTAAGATGAAAAAGAGGTGGTGTTTTTTATTGTTTTATGGCTACCCTGGGTCATGTTTCCTTCTCTGTGTTTAATTACAACATCCAGTTTCTATTTCCTAGCCTGGTTGTGCCCCATGCCTTGCGTTTATGGGCAGCTGGTCAGCTTAGAGTTGTACTTTCCAGACATGGAACACATTATGATCTGCATTCAGATTGGGATTATATTGGCATCTATTGTCTTTCTGAAAAACAATTGCATTGTAATACATTATTCCAGATAGCCTGAGAACTAGGACCGCTAGAGAGGAGGTAGCATGCAGAAACCACAGAGTAATCCATTCTCCATGGATATGCTGTGTAGACAGTTGTGTCCATTGAGATAACATTTCTAACAGAAATGGGTTGCAGTATTCTACAGGGAGAGGAAAAAAGTGGATTCATCAGGGACAGTGTTATATTCATCTGTTTATTCTAAGATTGGTTTCTGGCACTTGGAGGAGCACAGTAATTGTTTCATGAATGAGCTATAAATGCCCCAAAGAAAGAGAAGGGTTTTCCTACTCCTTGTATACAATTCTTTTCCTTGCTTCAGCCTCAGAGCTATATAAGAAAAGTGGGATGGGTGAACATTGTACATAGTGTTTTTATTCCAGATCTGATAGAATAGCCCCTTTTACATGCAGAAAAGTGATTTCCAATATTCTGCACCCCGTACCTCCAAAGATTTCAAATGGAAGATGCTGTGCTGTAAATGACGTGTTTGTTAGGGAATTTGAGTTTCCCATCCTCAGTGAACAAGTTGACTTATCAAATGGCCTCTGATAAGTCACTCAATGCTCAGGTTCTGTGGGTTATTTTCCTGCAAAAGAGTGAAAAAACTGCCCATCGCCAAAATATTGTAAGGATAAGTAATAATAACAGCGGCTAGGAAAAAGGGCAAACGAGATAGTCAAATGCTTGTAGCAAAGAGTAGTCATAAATGATGACTCTGCACTCTTCACATTCAGGACTAAGGCACAGTGAGTCACAATGGGAGATAACAACGTCTTCTTTATACCGAGGCAACTTGGGTTATCTCATCTGCCTTAGAGTTAGATGATAAAGTAGACTTGCTAATACTGTGCCTCAGTGGTGAGCTCACCCCTCATAGGAGTGCCTGCCTCTGTAAAGCTGACAGACTGGAGAGCAGAGAGGAGTATGGGCTTCTCCAGCAGGCGGGTGGGACCCAAAGGGAGGGAGGAGGGGAGGCCCGAGCTGCCTATGCTTTGTTCCCTTTCACAGACTTGCATGTCAATTGTTGTCTTCTCCTCTCTTGAGGAGAGCCCATGAGAGAGTGGAGAGAGACCAGAAGTGCCATTCTCATGGATTCCCCCTCGTATGACACATGGAGCAAGGAGGACGGTGGATCTCTTGCTGCTAACTTATGTCCACTTCTCTATTTTTCCAACTATATTTCCTTGTTGAGAACACCATTTATGTGCACTTCTCCTTGGTGGTG